CCAGCTGACGATTCTACACAGCACTGTTCTGTTCAACAAGCATTTGCTAACCCCTAACACCTGCTACCCAACAGGTAAGTCAGCCAGCCCTCTCCTGCTTGGCCTATTTGCTTTTCTACCTCCTGGCATCCAGTGTGTGTTGAATGGTCTTTCCATCTAACTTAACGGCTCTTTGCCAGACTCGAAGCTCTCCCTCCACTTCCCCAAGACGAGGAGCCTCTGGATAACTTACTGACGCTGCCCCACGACACTCCTGGTGGAGCCAGGGCACACATAACTGCAGAGCGCCCAGCCAGGCTAGGTGAGACCAGCCATGGAAGGGACTACCCAACAGGTTACCAGCTAGCACAAATACACACAGTCTTGCTGTGCCATCCACAGGGAGACCATGATCTATCCCCAGGGATGATTTGTGAGTGAGATCAAGTACAAACGAGTGTTTCTTGGAAACTGCTAACTGGCTTTCTTCTCCAGACCCGAGACTGGAGGGTCCCTTGGCAGGGTGGGGCCACTGAGGAACATCCCGTCATACCTTCTGTTCTCTGGTCTTGGGCCTCCGGTGACATAATGCACTGTTTTGGGCTCAGGGTGGCTCTTTGGCCCCACTTGCATAGACCGCTCGGAGCTGAGTAAGGTTTGCCCTGGAGAGCTGGCGAGGATTAAGGTAGAAGCTGAGTTTAACTAACGACTTCGAGAGAAATTACTCTAACAAGCACGTGTAGCCAGGTGGTAACCAGTTCTAGAGGTTCAGCTAAAAACACCGAAACTGCCCTTGAAAATAACAAGAAATGGCTAAAAGAAGATTCACAGCCCAGAGCGGGCTCTTTCTGGCTCCCTGTGCAACTTTGTGGTTGCTGTGTGTCTGTGGGTCGGTTCCAGCTCAGGGCTCTGGTAGGACAGGGCAGAGATGTCCCACAGGCTTCCCGTCAAGCCTCTAAGGAAGCAGCTGCCCCATCCTTCCCTGCAGGGGAGTCAGAGGGGTCCAATCACAGCCTATTCGGTCACCAGCGCCCCTCTGAGAGGCTTTACACCCCTCCCAAAGATCGTCTTCCCTCTTAAGTTCCTTGAAACCCAAGGTTTAATGACCATCTCCTCTCTATAAAAACCTTCCCCCACCCCCACCTCTTGTTGGGTGTGCGGTGGGGTGCGGGGAGCAAAGTAAACCCAGAGGCCAAAGGGGATAAAGCTCAAAATATTAACAGCACATTAGCTGGGTGGTAGGATGGCAGTAAAAGATTTTTCTCTTCCCTTGATTAAATGCACTGATATGAAATGTTTTTGCAACAAGTTACAAGTGGACCCTTTCTGAAAAGGGTGTCTTTAACTAGCACCCTGTAGAAGTGTTGGGAGGGACGAAATGAACCCACTCCCAGTTCACTGCTAGACCCTGGGCTCTACGCCACTGTGGAATCCTCTGCTTACACAATGGGGCAGACACAGGGTTTGAGGGCCGAGCCCCACATTACACGACACAGGAAAGGCACACCTGGTTCCACTCAGAACCTCAAAGCAAAAAACATCCTGTTAACATGACAATTCTGTGTCAAAACCCACTGGTGAGGTACACAAAGCCAGTTCCTGTCTAAGCCTGTCCCTGCCTTCAAACTTTACAAGAAGCTTTGTGACATGGGAGGGAGTTTGGGGTCCTGACTGAAGGGCTGGCTGCCTCTCAGACAGGAGCACTGCCAGGTAAGCCTCGGCCACCCGGCCTCAAACACAAACCTCCTCTCACCAATGTGAATGAAACCCGATGCCCACAAATCCCAATGGTCCTCAAATGAAGCCATTAGGTACACAAGTGGCAAACGAAGACACGCTTGGCACTTTAGGGGACTCATACAAAGTTTGCCAGTCAGGCGTCTGTCCAGACTCCTCACGAGACCCCTCGGGTCTTGAATGTCCCAGACTAGGCCAGAGATCTTGTGCCTCATCCTCGGGCCACTCACCCAGTGGTCTCTCCCCTCAGAGTCCTGGGGCCCCCTTCCTTGTCTTGGACAGGCACTCTAACTCACCTGTCTTGCCCTGAGCCTGCCAGGGAGGGTCTGAGCCCTGCCCCTAAGATGCCCCAGTCTCTTCCCCACCAGCCTACCAACCACACATCTACTGCTGCCTGGGAAACACCAGCTGGGAAGCAGCCTAGCTCTGGAAAGAGCTCTCCTCCCCCCTTCCTCCCACCGGTCGTCTGGACAGTGCCTGCCAGGACATGTGCCCAGCCCTACCAGTCTGACTCACTACTCCACCCTCCTCCTCGGGAGGCACAGACATGCAGAGCCAAACCTCCAGGCAGCCTCGGAGGCCCGGCGTGTCCGCTGAGAGCGCCACACAGCAGGCCCAGGCACGAGAGCCTTATTCCAGAGCCTGAGTCCCTGCAGCAGGATCCTCCTCAGAGCCATGTCTCCTCTGTGAGAAACGAGACTCCATCAGAGGCCTCAAGGGCCGAAGGCACCCATCTCGGTCTCATCGAAGGGGCTCGTGGCTCTCCAGCACCGCTGCATCATGCCCGACAGGGTTCTTCAGACATCAGGGGAGAGAAATCAGAAAAGCGACAAACTACCTGCCACAGCACTTCTTAAGGGGGCCAGCAGGTCACGCTGGGAGATTCGTGCTCCACTCCACCAATTCTATCTTTGACAAAGCCCCGGATCATTCTGCTCCAGTAAGTCTGGCAGGCTGGGAGCCTGCATCTGCACAAGCCAATTTTTAACCAGCCGGGGCTTCTCAGCAGCAATCCTGCCCTGATAGCCATCTCCCCAGAGCTCAGCTCCTTCTCTCCTCCAACAATACCCAAGGGACTCACGAGTCAAGGATCCGCCCTACTCTGACACCAGCTCGCTATTTACCTAGAGCTCTAGGGAGCCCTAGAGACAGTTGTCAAGCAGGTGGCTGCTAACTGGCAGGTCTGCACTCCGACACCACCAGCCGTCCAGTCCAGCGGGAGAAAGAGAACGGCCTTGAGCCGCCTGGGAGACACTGCTCTGTACCGCTAGGTGGGCTGGGAGCCAGAAACCGCCAGACAATGGGTTTGGACGTACATCTTCAAGTCACTAGGAGGGCTTGCACTCTCAAACCTCCATCCAGCCCTTCAGCATCCATTAGAGTTTTATCTGAATATGCTGGAGGCAGGTGGTCAGCCTGTTCTTGAAAAGCTAGTGATTTTTCTCATGATTGACAGGGACAACATCTCCAAAACGGGTGCTATTAGGACTATGGCAGCCCCAAGATGAGAATGGTGAGGGACTAGCCCAGGCAAACTCACTAAGGGCTGGAGTAGACACATCCTCTCTACACCTTTGTCTTCACAGCCCGGGAAGGCCACTCTTCACCCACAGAGTAGGTCCATGACACAAGACATGCTGGGACCAGGCGACACAAAACAAGCCTGTTTGTAAGCTCAA